CACCAAAGACAATTTCATATATATTGTAAATAAATATTTGCATCCTGAAAAATATTCCATTAATTTGCACCTCATGACCTAAATGAAGTTATGAAGCAAAAGAGGCTTGTCTGAACAAAAACACATTTATGGGTGATTTTTGCCTTACGGTGTCATAAATTTTCCCCACTGAGGGAGACTTACTCTCATATCCGCTTTTCCAAATCTACTTTACGCTTACTATTCTGCCCACAAAGAAACATTTCCATAAAGGCTTTAAGGTGACGCCGTATTCCTGAAGAGGCTGACAGCCTAATCCCAGATTTTTAGGAGTGCTGAGATGAAAGTCCTGAGATCAAGTCATATCTCTGTGCATTAAGGTTAATTTCGAGATTCCCGATATTCTGTTTATAGCTGTATTGTTCTGGTAGTGGTTACCAGGCAAACTGAAATCTGGTTTGTCAGTCCATAAGCAGAAGATCAGATCAAGGATGAGTCGTGAAAGGAAGCCAGGTATGCCCTCTCCCTTTGTCATGACGTTAAGAAAAACTGTTTTAAAAAGCTCCCCCCTAAACATTCCTCACACACAAGAAATCCAGAAAATGAGAGACAATGGAATTTCCTACACAGCATTTACTTCCATACTGTTTAAAAAGATTCAACTTCAGATATTTAGAAAGAGACTGTTTGGATTACTGTGAACTGAGATACAGATATAACAAGCCAAGGAACTGTCACCTTAAAAGTATTTACCTTTAAGTTTTGCAGTGGCGTGCGGTCAGACCCTTTAAACCAGGGGTCACCAAACTTGGTCCTGGAGGGCCGGTGTCCTGCAGAGTTTAGATCCAACTTTCCTCAACACACCTGCCTGGAAGTTTCAAGCATACCTAGTGAGACCTTGATTAGCTGATTCAGGTGTGTTTAATCAGGGTTGGAGCTAAACTCTGCAGGACACCGGCCCTCCAGGACTGAGTCTGGTGACCCCTGCTTTAAACCCTTGAGAGAAGGGGTGACAGAAATTGTGATGGCAAAAAAGATTGAATATAATAAAGTTATAAATCTTTATTTCACCACTTCAATAAAACGTTTAATAAATAAATCCCTCAAATGTCATTCCTGTCTGACGGATTGTGCAATGCCGCCCACAAACTAGTTTCAAAGTTGTCGTATTACTGTTTTTTTTTCCACACTACATAACTTTCATTTCCAGTCAAAACATATATCCCACTGCAGGACTTGGAGTCTCTTGGGCATCTGCAAGGCATCAGCACTTCTCTTAGACTGCGTCTTAAAAAAGCGACCATCATTCACTCAAACGAGCATCGATTTGCCTCTGATTTCAGATATTTGTCGGCGATTTAAATGAACTGTCGGAGAGAGTCAGAGCTAAAATTGTGAAGTGTATATAGGCATCGGTCTGTCATAATCAACTGCTCTTTATGAATGACATCATTGTTCACAAAGTATTCTGAGGTCAGATTTGTCTGCTTTCATAGCTGAGTGCCAGTGATAATTACAATACACAGCCAAATGAACCGTGCTTTCGAGCAACACAGAGTAATGTTGTTTTGTTTTTGAAAGAATCAGGGTATATTTACACAACAATGATGAACAGAATGGTCAAAATGCAAAAAAATTCTAATTTTTAGTTGAAAACGGTGTCATGTAAACACCCCCCTCAGTGTTGTTAAATGCTTCGGTTGAATTAATGATTCAGTGACTCACTCATAACACCATTGTATTTTTGTATTAAACTTCTGACCTCTTTTATTTCCTTACTCTGGATGGAGATTGACAATGTTGTCACTTGTGCAGCTGAGCCTCAGTCAAACTAGATCTAAAATAAGGCCTACTCATCAAAAACATTTCATTTACAAGTGACCATTAAGACCAGAGTCATAAGATCAGAGTCACAGCTGTTATTGAACTGAATTGAATCAACACTGAGCTGATTCGAGCTATAACGACACTGCTGTCTTCAGTAGAGCTGCTCACAGCTGAGATGAACTTGTTTGATAATGAACTTTACTGTTATTGAACTAAACTGAACCAACACTGAACTGCCCAGAGCTGAATAATGACACTATTGTGTTGCTAAAGCAGCTTTACAGCAGAATTTTGGATTTGCACCATTGATTTAGCTACTTTCCTGTTGAATATTGTGAAGTTGCTTTGAAACAATAAAGTACTATAAAAATAAAGGTGACTTGACTTGACTGACCTTAATGATGTGCTGACCATCTTATGCTGACCATGTGCTAAATGGTGAAATCAGCAGAGTAGAGCCATCTGTCATTGTGTGTTAGGTGCAATGCTTATGTAATGAAGTATAAATATTAACCGTCTGCATTTGCTTAAACAAACACCCTGGAGAAATTGATAGTGATATAGCGTGAGATTGCACAACACTTTCGGCTACATTTAAGGATGAATCGGATATTTACTGTAATATTTAATGTTTCCCAGGATCCTATTCAGAGTCATGAAACACAAAGTGCCGACTGCTACTCTTCTGTTGATTTAAAATGCCCACAGTGTTTAGTTTATGAAGCCTGCATGCTCCGGTAAAGAAAGCTAAGTGGATTTTGAATGCAACTTTAAAAATTATGCAGCCTGTCTGAATTAATCATCAGCCTTTTTCCACCTGAAAACTTTTAATGCTTCCAATAAAAAATGTGTTTGATTAGCATATACTGTAGTACTCACTACAAATACCTCAGAGATCAATCATGACAACTCAAAATGTGCGTGTACTTTGCTAAGAGCAGTCTGGCAGCAACAGTCATCTGAACGGCAATGTTTAGAGTATGACGAGACAAAATTCCAACCACGAGTCTGTCGGGTTTGAACAGACAGGCCTACAGCAAAAGGCAACGTGAAATCAGCACCTGAAAATGACTCAGACGATAGACACATATGATCTAAACAGATGTGCTTCAACAGATGTTTTTAACTATAATGCAGAGGGAAAAGTTCTCATCATTTTCCAAATAAATAAATAAATAAATAAAATAATAATAAAGGTCACATGATCTGATATTTTTGACCTTACTGACATTTTAATATAATAAAAAAAAAAGAGTATACTTATTATGGAAATGATGTACTGTACTGTACATATTAAATGCAATTTGTTGCATTAAACAGAACTAAAGACTACTTTTTTTTAAGTATACAACTTTTATTTCATAATTACTTCTGTTATTATGTATGGTTAACTGTACTGACAAGCATTTATGGTAAACTAAAATATACTTTCATGTCATTTTTTTGTCATGTATTTGAAAATATTTGTAATTACACATTTGTAATGATGAAATTGCAATTTAGTACTTTTAAAAATATTAATTTTAAATGTAATATCAAATAACATACTAATTGAAATTATAATCAAGAACTTAACATGTGCTTTAGTATGTTAGTTACCGCATTAAAGGAAGTGTACTTCTGTAAACACAACAAAAGACTTTAAAGTAAAACATTTAAGTTGACATTATTTCAAAGTGCACTTTTTAAGTGTACTAAAGAAACATAGTTATGAAAGGGCACTTGCGTGGCTTTTTATTTCATAAATATTATATTACCTACAAGTAAAATTGTTTAAATATACTTTTTGAAGCATACTACAAGTGTACATGTATTACAGTTAAGCATTCTTTTTCACAAGAGGTGTGTGTGTGTGTATATATATATATATTTCTGATAATGTTCTGTTTCTGATACGCTTTAGCACACAAAAAATGGAGATTCATGTCAAAAGTCATTTCCTACTTTTGTATCTTAAGGCGACATCAACATGTTCAATCTTGAGGACAAGAGAATATGATACCGGTACTCTCAGGAAAATTGTAAACAGAGACACATGTAAGTGTTTGGGATGGACTGATAACGCAGGCCATTAAGTTAGAATTCTATTTGTTTCCTTTAGAAAAGTGCTGTATAGTTATTTCTCATGGCTCCAGGCTACTTCTCAAATATTCATAATGCATACTGATGGACAGCAACAATCAACATCCCAGGGAACTCAAATATATGCACTCTGCGTGCACACACAGACAGACACACACACACACACACACACACACTAAGCCACAAGAGATGCACCCAAACATTTTCTAATTTCAGACTTCGAGTTGTTTTCATTTGCCTTAATGGATGATAATACAGTCTGCATGCTGTCTATAGACAGTTACAAAAAGCATGTGAGTTAGATGTAGTTCATTTTATTTTGGACCGCAGTTCAACCACAGTTATTTCTGAAGATCTCCTTTTGCATAACAGAGTTAGCACAAGTCCACTAAATCAGTTTGGACGTAAATCTTTGTAAAGTTGAGGGAAACACTTTCATGTCCCTTACACACTCTTAAAAATAATGGTTCCATTGAGAACCAAAAGCCATTTACAGTTTGATATCACAGCAGAAAAACAAATAATCTATTTTCCAAAATCAAACAAACAAACAAACAAACGACAATAGACAGACAGACAGAGAGACCGACCGACTGATAGATAGATTAGATTATTTAAATAATATTTTTACCTTTATAATAAACTAATTATGTTTTACATTCACTTTAATTTTAAACAATATATTGAAAATTATTGTAAATGCATATTATAAAAATATATAGTATTAGATATTTTTTTATTTCCATAATACATTTTTGAAAATCAGATGATCATCATTTTTATTTTTGTGCTAACTAAATTGTATATTATTTCAGTTTATTTTAAATAATATATTGGATGACGCATCACCATTATATAAAATCTAAATTAAAACTTAAATATTTTATTTTTTCTTTAGTAAATACACATTATTCTTACCCCATCTATGCGTTGGTCGGTTTGTCAATAACTTCTGTGTTATGCAGATCATTCACACGTTGAATAAGTGAGGCGCAACGAAGCCGTGAGATGCTCCTCCTATTTTATTTTTTATTTTTTTTCTCACGGCAACTTTATCAACCCCGGGAGGGAAGTCTATTAGTCTTACCAATCTACCTTCACAGCGAGCGGGGGCAATGAAGAGAGTCGGCGCGTTTCTTACAGTTTGGTTTGTTTTCAAGCGGAATGAACTCTAATCGAAAATTGTTTTGCGAGTGAAACCGGTGGTTGGCCAGAACAGAACTGAGCAAACTAATAACTAAACTAACATCTGTTTATGAAATAAACGAGAGAACTCTACTGAAGAAACGGAACCCCGAAAACCAAGCATATCGCCTTCGCTTTAAATATTATGTTTGGAGTGACTGAAATAACCCATCTATGCTGGTTAGTGAGTGCTGTGTTTGGGAGGAATGGCCGCGCGCTGCAGTGATGGACACTCCGTGGACAGGTGCGTACTTACTTGTGATTCAATATTGATGCTTTATTGCCATGACAGCTTAGTTATTATGAAATAATTGCAGTGTGATTCAGTTGTCCAGCAAAGGAACATCTGTAATACACTGTGATAAATGATACATAAATCATGACAAACGCTTAATAAATTAAAATCATACAAATGTTGCACACATAATTGTCTCTAAAACTTCTAGTTGTAGATTAGGCTTTAAAAGTCTGAGACCACACGTGAAAATGCTTAATTTCTCATTTTAAACAACAAATAAAAACATGGCATTATCAGTTTGAGTGAAAAGTTCAACTGAAAAATTGACATGATGATCAGAAGTCCTTTTTTTTGCTTTAATGTCTTCAACTTTAACTCCACAAGTTTGCATAAAACCTGATGATCATGTTCTTCAGCCTGATTTGAGAATGGTCCAAAGAGCATCTAATGCTTCAATTTAAACAAGTACATCTGTCTTTACGAAGGCGTTCACTTTGCCAAACTTGCTTATTTTTTTATTAATGACCTAGAAATGGTACAACATCCAAATATTTGTTTACTTCAAGGTCTGAATGAAAAAGAAAATCCTTTAAAATCCCATTTTCTCCTCACTGTACATTACATACAAAAATAATGTACTGTAAATAATCACCACACACAATACTAAAAGTGCAATTGTGCAATTGTTACTTCAAGGAGCAGTTTCTACCTGAGGTGACTGTTAAAAAATGCAACAGAAAGTGCTGAGGTTTATTTACTCATATAAAATATTTAAATATCCACATTTTTGTCCAAACAAATGCTCTCTACAATGAGGATACCCTTCTCTGTAAACCCATCTGTCACTAACAGTCAGTAGCAAACTAAATAGCTGTGAAACCTACAGGATATTTAAAACAGTTGACAACATACGCTGCCCCAATTTCCTGTTTTAATATAAATTACAACTACACAGGAAAAGAAAACAGCGCTCATTGGGCACTTTATGGGGTCATTAAGCAACTATGGGTGGGTCTGTGATAGACATATTGATTCTGAAGAAATGCTTTCTATTTTTACAGATCCTCAAAGAAAAGGAACTGCAAGTCTTTCACGATAGACGTTGCCCAATCCCTGTGCCTGGGCTCAGGGTTCAAGGGCAAGACCGTATGAACATGCTTTCAAACAAGTCATGCGAGAACATCACCAATATCGATGTGAACGGGAATCCGGTGATGAGCGCTGTGATGTTCATCGCTGGGGTGGTTGGCAACCTGATGGCTTTGGCTATCCTGGGAGCCCACCAGAAGGAGCGTCGCACCAAGTCCTCAGTCTTCTGCATTCTCGTGACAGGCCTGGCTTTGACAGATCTGCTGGGAACATGTTTACTCAGTCCACCGGTTTTCACTTGCTATGCCCAAAGAAAATCCCTGGTGGGTCTTACGGGAGATTGGTGGCTGTGTGGACTCTTCGCCTTCGCCATGACGTTCTTTGGCCTGGCCTCTATGCTCATACTGTGTGCCATGGCGGTGGAGCGGTGCCTTGCCATCAGTCACCCATATTTCTACTCTAAACACGTGCGGCGCAGCTTCGCTAAGATCGTCCTCTTCCTCATCTATCTCTTTACCTTCATGTTCTGCTTGCTGCCATTCTTTGGATACGGGCGGCATAAGCAGTACTGCCCGGGCACATGGTGCTTCATCAAGATGGAGGCAGAAGGAGAGAGTGAGGATGAGGAGAGGAGAACACTGACCTTCTCACTGTCCTACGCTGTGCTCATGGCGCTGCTCATCTCTGTTGTGTTCTTGTGCAACGGTTCGGTCATCGTCAGCCTATGCCGCATGCACCGGAGCCAGCTGACGCGTCGGGGTTCGGTGGTGTCGGCTGGACGTAAGAGGAGGCTGAGCACCTGGTTTGGACAGGGAGAAGAGGAAATGGACCACTTACTGCTGCTGGCCTGCATGACCTTCATCTTCGTCATTTGCTCCTTGCCACTGACTGTGAGTATGGGACATTTTCTACTGTTTTATATCACTCTGAAATGTTCTAGTTCAAAGCTAAATCTCTGTCTTCCAGCCTGTTTTACTTCTCCAGATACTGATTTTACAACAGTTAGGTTCTGGTCCTCTTAACTGTATTGGTCAAGTGCTTTCCAAGGGTGCGGATCTTTAATATAACAGTCCAGAATATGTGAGTGGTATGAGTTCTCATTTTCTCTAGAGTGAGTAAACCAACAGTGTTAGTTTAGGAAATCTTTCTGTCCTGTGAGGCTTTACAGCGCTCATAGTCCAAAAGTTGGCAATATTGTGCCATTTAACTTTTATGTCAGAAACCACACAAGAGCATTATGGTTAATGCGAATTTAAGTTCCCTTTTCTTGATGTCAAACAACATCTGGTTGGTGAAAAAAAGGGTAGAAACTGAGCTTTTCGAAACTTTGAATCAACTGAACCATTTGATCACCAAATGATTCAATTGTTTCGAATCACTTAAAACTCCTGCTGGTTAAAACGGTATAAATTCAGCAAAAACTCAACCCAAACATGTATAATTAATTATACCTTTTTCAAACTGATTGCAAATGCTTTATACATTAATCTATTATACTACAAGTATTAAAATTCATTAATTAAAATAAAAAATGAACCTTAATTTAAAAAACGGACACAATTTTTGGTTAAAAACCATTAACACTCTTTCATCGGTTTATCAGATCAATGCCATCTAGTGGCGAACCTGAATGTTTTGAAACCATGTCTGAATGTCTGAATGTTTTGAAACCATCAATGGTCGAAACTGACATGCCAAAGTCTCTTTTGCTGAAACCATGTGACTTGACGATTCTGAAACAAACTCTGAACCACAAGTTTAAAACAAAAAACTCGTAAATGTTTTGAAGCTTCATGAAGCATTGTTTCGAAAGCACCCATCACTACATAAGGCATTCATTTATGAGGACAGATGGCGAGGTAGAATAAGCAATAGTTATAATTCCTGTGTCAAATTCCAACGCAAACCCAAGATTTATGAACAACTGTTACCATGCGCAAACTCTGTTCATGATGTCACCGCATTCTAACACACATCATGGAAAATGTCATTTTCTTTTGTTAACTATTGTTTTTTTTTGTTAGCTTTTGTCTTCAAAAACAATTTTCAGTGAGTCACTTTGCTGATGGCTTTTACAGTAGTTGGTGTTGCTGTCCTGCCACTGCATTTAAGTCAACCAGATGCAAACTGCATTGGTAGTTATTGTATTACGTCGCTGCTCATTTGCATAAAATTTAACTTTGGTGAACTTTCGTCACATCACCAACAGTCCATGTGACATGTGGCGCTGGAAATCAGTACCTCATTAAAATTATGATGTCCGGTGTCTTTGTTGCTGCAAATCCCTGTCCAAGTGAATGCGCTTTCCCAGCCCTTGTCATCATTTTAAATGGATGCGGTAGATTGGATATAGCCATGCTCGAACTGCAATTGCTTGTAAAACAAATGATTCTGCTTTAAAAGGTCATGCAGATTATCTTTGCAATTTGGTGGCAAATTATTCACAGTTGTTTAGTCTAAGCTCTCAGCGTTCAAGATCTCCATAAGAAACAAACTTTTGCCTTTAAATTGCCTCATGCTAACACATACTGTACTAATAATTTATTTTACATAATTTACTAAACAAGAAGTCTGCATTTTACAAATCAGCCAGCTGCAGTGACACATAGCACATATTTACATTCTTTAACCCATTCATTGAGCTGTAGGTGAGGTTTGGTTGTAGTCTCTGAGTTGCCTGTAGCAATCACTGGGTGTGTATATGCTGCGGGGGAGTTGGGACATGTATTACGTAACAAAAGCTATTATTTTTGGATTGTATTCCCAAATACCAGTTGATGTGTTATTTTACGAGCTGTTGGTGTTGGCTTTTAACTTCGATGCATGTTACAAACTTCAAGACTGGATTAGACTAACCCTGCTTTTTTCTCTATACCAGTTTAAAATAGATTGGCAGTGTTTTCTAAGTAGACAAGTTCAGTTCTCAGATTAGGTTTTTTCTGTTTTTGCACATAGTAAAATCACTTAAAATGTTTCTACAATACACGGAAAAGCTGTGGATCTAAATCGTTTTAAGTATAATATCTTAATTATTAGTATTTTAATAAGTGATGCTTGCTCATATTTGCATTAGGATTTACAAAGATTTTGTTAGAAACTCTCTAATGAAAGTTAAAACTAAGGATGTCAAATGGTGATCAGAGAATTTTTTTTTTTAAATGTGTTTATTTCATAATTAATCACACTATGGGCCAGATTTACTAACAGATTGTGTCATCGCAAACCCTTTTGGCATTAAACAAACTACTGTCAGGATTTACTAAAAACACATGATTAAAAATTTGCAATGAAAAGGCATGAACAGAGTTATTTTTTTGGCTGAGTAATGAATATGCATATGCACCTTAACCCACTTTGCACTTGACATGACTGCAATAGTTGCTAATTTGCACTGCTCTTGGTAGATTGCATTAGTCAGTATGGATGTGATCTGGCAGTATTCGCATTCTTTAATTTGCACATTGTCAGTAAATCACCCACAGAACTTTCCTCTCGTTGGAGCTTCTATGGGATTACGGTCTCACGCTAATTTGCCTTGTTTAGTAAATCTGGCCCTAATGCATTACATTGACAGTCCACTTTAAGCACTCTCTCTCACTTGTATTTTGCATATTTGTCGTGACCTCCCAGCCGTTTTGTACACTTCAGTATACAGTTTCTGCAATATATTGAAAGATGACAGATGACACTAATGGTATTCTCTTTGTCTCATGGGATGCTCTATTTGTCGCCTGGAAATAAACACTAGATACTTTATCCAAAGCAAATAGTTTACACAACCAAACCATTGTGTTTTTTTTTCCATACACACAGACTCAGAATCAGATGTATTTGCACCCACCCAGATGTCATATATAACCTTTGTAACATTAAACTGCAAAGCACGTCTCCATTCAGAACAAGCACAGGGTACAGCTGGACATTTCCTGTGAGAGAGGCTGCATGCAGAAGGAGATATAAGAGGAAGGAAATGTGTCCCAATATCGGACAAGAACTGGTTCATGTATTTTGCTGATTTAGTAGAGGACAAGTGCCAATGTATATGGGTGTATATGAGTCTCTGACCACAAGGAATATTATATATTATAACATTTAATAACGTATACATGGGAGATTTTCAACTGCAGACATTTAGGCTATATTTTAGGGGTTGATTTTCATTCAAACTAAAATATTTCAACTTTTTTTTCTAATTGCTAGATGAAGCTGCCTTGATATATATATATTTTTTTACAAGCTTTCGTCTTTTTTTTTTTGCTGTTTTTTTCTAGGCCCTAACTAGAATTATGGAAATAATTAAAAAATGAATTTTTACGTTTTTAAAAGTTGATAATCTGTAATGATAAAACATTTAAGTATTTACTGAGTTTTTTTCCATCCAAAAACTAACATTTTTGTCGCTATATATATGAGCAATATCACACGAGCAGCAGTGCGATATGGCTGTATATCAGCATGGCTGTGATTCGGCCGTTGGTAATTACAGAGTGCCGATATACAGCCATATCGCACACCTACAAGTGTGATATTGCGTTTATACAACAGTTCAATGGCACAAGTGTGTAAATAAAAAAAGTCTTTAAAAACCCTCTTTTGTGCAAATTACTTCCTTCTGCCACGGATTCAAATCTCAAGTTGACAGTTTAATAGCTGAGCTCAAGCCTCAGCTACTAATTCGAAAACGTCACTTTGGAACTATTAACGAAGGACCATTGAGTTGCTTCATTGAAAGCTTACTGTATTAAAAGCTCACTGTATTATGTAGAGTATTATGAGAGAGAGATGGACCGAGCGAGTGTGATTACCTGCATCTGACACAGCATTCATTCTTCAGCTCAATCTCATATTTAAAACATTGGTTTGACTGTCCGCTGAGGAAAGCGATATCTTTGTCGTACTCTCTTTGTCGTAATCTGTTAAGGGTGATTTCTGATGACAGCGCTGCTCAGTGCATTTGTTGGCTGCATCTTACAAGGTGTTGTTGAAAGTAAATATAACTTCCTTGTTTACAACCCTATTTCAGTCTCTTTTAATATAAAAGTCTTTACTCAGACTCACTCAGAAAAACAGTCTCTTGTCGCCATCTATAAAATTAACCATGGTTTTATTGTAGTAAAAGTGTAGTAACCATGTTTTTTTGCTGCATTGATTACCATTTGTATAACCACAGTTTTACTACAAATACAAGTACAAATACTACAAATGGTTAAACTATGGTTGGTGTAGCAAAACCATGGTAAATTTGTGGTTACCATGGTTTAACTATAGTAACCATGGTTTTTTGGTTTTATTTGTGGTAAAACCATGGTTAATTTTCGTAAGGGTAATGGTGGAATAATGTAACTAAAATCAACATCATGAACACATACCATTTCTCAATACTAAATACTATAATTAAATACTACTATTATTTCTATAAAATATTATTCATTGAATAATAATATTTACCAACAACAACAGCCATCATAAAAGTTGCTAGGCAGTTCAGTAAAAAGTACAAAGGCAGCACTCTGTGATTTTCTGTCTTTCTTTTGTTGCTTGATTAACACCAATGACTCGGACAATAGCAACTAAATTAGGCTGCTATCCCTTTAAAACCGGATGCACGGATGAAATGGATGCAGTGTAGGGTAGATTGCTTTTTCCGTTACCACACCAAAACTAGGGACTGAAAAGAAGAGATTTTTCAAATGACATTTCCTTTACTTGTCTACTAAAATATTAATAATTATTAACATCCATAAGTAGGTCATATTTGCCACAATTAGCTCATAAACACGAAGCTCGTTTGTTCGTTCCATGTCGGGTACAGTTGGAACAGTACCATAGTACAGTTGAGACACCCATCCGTTATGCTGTAAAGCTGCCTAACCAAGTCATTGTAAATGTA